GAAGAAAAATTGGAATGCTAGCTCTATCGATTGGCAACGGTCCAGTTTCTTCATTTCGCTTGTCTTGAACATACGTTGATTTCAGTTTTCTTGAGTTTTTAACTATTTCTGAAAGAATTGTTTATCATTGATCGCTGACTCTTGTGCTTCTTTGAGTGTTAGATTTGTTTTTTAAAAAAATTTCTGAACTCTGCATCACTCGGTTGCAATGAGAAAAAAAACATTGTAAGTGTTTCAGTTAGGCATCCAGTTTTTCCCATAGATATGTAGCTGCCACTGATGATTAAGTTACTCTAATTTGTACAATAGGTGTTGAGTTTACCCCCACGGATTTAAAATCCCGCGCTTTCACTGACTTTTATTTATTTTTATTTTTAATTTATTTTTATTCATAGCTTAGTTCTGTTTATGCTTCATCTTATCTTTTTATGTTGACTCTTTTTGGACCAAGTTAACATCCTCTTACCTCTCCCAAATACGTTTAAGGGGGAGGATGTTAACTTGGTTCAAAAAGAGTCAACATAAAAAGATAAAGTTCAAGCATAAACAGAACTAAGCTATAAATAAAAACAAATTAAATACAAAAATGAATAAAAATCAGTGAAAGCGCGGGATTTTAAATCCGTGGGGGTACACTCAACGCCTATTGTACAAATCAGACTAACATAATCATCGGTGGCAGCTACATATCTATGGGAAAAAAACTGGATGCCCAACTGAAACACTTACAATGTTTTTTTTCTCATTGCAACCGAGTGATACAGAGTTCAGAAATTTTTTTTAAAAACAAAACTGACACTCAAAGAAGCACAAGAGTCAGCGATCAATGATAAGCAATTCTTTCAGAAATAGTTAAGAATTTAAGAAAACTGAAATCAGCGTATGTTCAAGACAAGCGAATTGAAGAAACTCTGATCGTTGCCAATCGATAGAGCTAGCATAAACTTTCGAAAGAAAAAATTAGAGACAGAAGAATAAAAAAGCAAGAAACTCGAGAAATTTGCCCGCGTGCAGCGCGTGCTTTAAGTAATGGTACTCAGTGCAAAACAGGGATGCCACTCGCTAAATAAAACGGGTCGAAAAGGGCTTGAATCATGTGACGCGAGCGTCGAACGGCGAAAACAACAACCAAAAGCGGAGAGTCTAAGCCAAAAGAGGTTTAAGGTTGCAATCAAATCGTTGAACTAATTAACAATAATTGTAAATGGTTTCCAAGTGAATTGTATTGGAAACTTGAGGAAAGAATGCACATACTGGTCACACGAAGTGTAGATACTTTTACTGAACTATATACTGGAAAAAGTGTTGAAAAAAAGTTGCAACAAAGATTGGTTTGAAAATCGAGTTTATATCCGTCCGAGCAAAATGGAACCTGATCTAAACTACATTTTATTATTGGATAAATTATATATTTTACCACTGTGAAATATTTAATATTAACCAATCATAATCCATCTAACTAACAACTCACTTATTTGTAAGTGCTGAAATTACTAGTAATTTCAGCACCAGCGAGATTTGAATTTAACTTAGAAATTAGTTGCCTCTCCAAGAGAAATTCAGCAGTTGCAATAAGCCAGTATACTCTAGATCTATTGAGCCTAGCAGAGACTAGTTAAACACCCTGAGACTAGTAGATATAAGAGTAAGATTAGGATCGGTATTAGACTAAGAAGTTGCACGAATCTATCCGGCCGAAAATAAGATAGCGTGACGAGCAGACGGTGTACCCCATCCGAAATTACTCTATGAGTTAACCACATCGGTCTTAACTCAAATAATAGTATAATAGTATGTTTAGATTTGGTTACCGTGCAATTTTCCTAAATAAAACAAGTTCCCGACTACTGATTTGTTTGATTTGACAGTTTTGTATGACAAAAACGGGGCGTGGTGATGTGCATGTGTACATCTAAGAAAGCTCAATTAAAATAAAAACTCAGTTCGAAGCAGCAAGAGGGTTTTTTTCATGATGGAAGGAACGAACTGTGGAAAACTTTTTCGACCCTCGTATTCACTAAATGGTTGATGCACAAACTATAAGTGAAATTAGCAGAAAATAGTTTTTGCACGACAGTTAAGTTTTGCCTAACATTTCTTGCAGATATCAAATGACTTTTGTTTTACTTTCCAATTTTTAATCGGTTTCAACCAAGTATTGAGTGTTTTCCAATGATCTGACAATATATGAAACTTCATGTGTTTGCTTAATTTGCAATACGTCAATTTTATTTCTATTGGCTTAGATTTATTAGCTTAATAAGAAATTTTCTCTAATATTGTGACTGGCTGAAGTTCGTTTTTAATCATTTGGTCTCCGCGCTCTCTCCGCCATTCGGATTCCATCATAAGAGCGGCACAAATCAGTTTAAATTTTGGCTGCAAATTGCCAGAAAACAAACTCAATCCCGGGTTGAAGTCCCACCGTTAATTAGCGCTTTTTCTGTAAAACCCAGTGATCGCTATTTTCCAGCGCTAGTTCATGCATAATTCAGAATTTTTTGCATAGCTTAACCTGTGATATTTCAGAGCTATTTTAGTAATAATTCCGTAGAAAATCAGCGCCAAAACTTAGGAAACTTCAACTCAATATAGTAGCTTTCAAATGAGAGTTTTAGTTGTAGTCTTAGGGATGGCGCAGAGGTAGCATACATGTCTACAAAGCTAACGGTTGAGTTAGCAAACCCCAGTAGCTCTATGTTTTTGCTCATTTTAATAGGTTGTTATTGCTGTTTCATTGCTGAAAATTAGCCAATTCAGCGATAATCTATCTATAAAAAATGCTATTGTGGCAATGAACATCGATAAGTCATCCATGGCGATCGCTGTTTTTTTTCACTGTTTTTAACGCTAAGTTTCAATATGATCTCATCTCGGGATTCTAATTGCGCTAAGAGCCTCATGCTAGTCGGTGCCCTGACATTGGATCCTGTTGTTTTGATATTTGCAACGGCCAAAAATTAATCCCCAAACTTGAACTTCAGTACGAGAAATTGTATTAGATTAGTCATACTGCATTGACGACTTTTTTTCTGCTAGTTGAAGTATTTGTACAATTTGGATCTGAGATTTTGCTATTCTGTTTCTAGACTTGATTTTTTTTCAGTTTTTAGAGAAATTTTGCTGAACATTATGCTGACAAAACTTTCTGAAGCTTTGTTGGAAAGCAAACATGCTGTATTCATTTGAAGTAAACTGAAATTTTTTAAAAATTCATTACCATTTTTTGCTAGCTACAATGCTTTGGCTTAATTAAGCGTTTCTCATTTTAAAAAAACAAGCCAAAACATTGAACGACTGTGTTTTTTCTTAGTTTGTGTAAATTCTATTTAGAATTCTGATTGAAAGTTTGATTGGGAACCAGGCGAGCATCAGAGTTTTTTTCCATGGGTTAGATTTAGAGAAATTTTGCCAAGCATTATGCAGGCAAAATTTTCTGAAGCTGTGCTAAAAAAATCACGCTGATCTCAGTTACTGCAAATTGTTTAAATTTGTCCTCTGGTCTTTTTAAAAATTAATTACCATTTTTTTGGTAGCTATAATGCTTTGGTCTAATTAAATGTATCACAAAAAAAACAAGCCAAACATTGAACGTGTTTAGTTTTTATAATCATATTTACAGTTCTGATTGAAAACTTGATTGGAATACAGGCGAACATCAGAATTTTATCCAGGGGTTAAGGCACGAGAAAGGTATGTCAACTACCGAATTCTGGATTGTGCCAGAGGAGTTAAATACCGGGCAAAAACCCTTTTTTATAGGCCACTCTTTTGAAATTTTTGATGAAAAACAGTGTGGGCGTAAAATATAGCAAAGAGAAACACTTCGGTTGGCCAGAGGGTCAACTCCTTTAAGGAGGGCGTACATTTATTAAAGCCACCAAGCCCAACCAACACCCCCCAAGCCCAACTAACACCCCCCAAAAAAACACCTCCGAACCAAACAACCCCCCCCCCCCCCAACCCAACCCCGATCCCGCCAAATCCAACCAGCTCCCAACCCCCCCACCACACCCCCCCCACCCCCCCCCCCCCCCCCCCCCCACCCGAGTCCACTACCGTTTGAAACTTAAAATCAGACGCTGAAATGTGAAACGTAAGGAAGTTTGTACATAACACTTACTTGTGCAAATGTCCAAATAGTTTACAGCTGACTCAACTAAGCCTGCATCAGCGCGACACACGGCAGAATATCTCAGATGGTAATCACAACCGGGCACCAAGTCTTTCCTTTTGAGATCAGTCTCTCCTCTGGTCAAATTCCCGATGATTGGTTTCCCACAGTCCTGATCATAAAGAGGCTTAAGCTCAAGGTAACTGTATGGCCCTGACGGCACTCCGAAGCCACTTATCTCTAGCGTGGTCCCCGTTGCTTTAACACCTGTCATAGAGCTGACGCCGTTTGGCAGTTCGGGCTCTAAACAAAATTACAACATTCTTTTATACAAATTCTGAACGAGAATTTTTTCAATTTTGTGATCCTTATTATTTTTCCATCCGTATTGGCTTTTCTCAAGTATGTAACAAATAATAAGGCTAAGGAAAGAGAATAACTATCTATAAATACGCATATTAGAACACAAAGGTTAACCTAAAGAGGCACTCAGCATACTGGTACGGTGTTCCCTTTAAGATCGTCATACCGTGTGTTCGCACCCATGCCATCGCAATTATATTGTTTGCGGACGAGCTCTCACTTGAACTCTAGCTTCAGGTCTACCACAGCCTGACCGTTTTCGGCTGTAATAGGGGTAACACGTGAGAGTTCTAGATTTAAAAAAAAGCTTGGCTCAACAAAAAAAAACAATCTGGAATCGGGAGATTGTGCGAATATTTTTTTTCGATAAGCTTAATAGCTTCTCTGAGATTCGCTGGAACAAAAAAACAATTAAATATGGAAAAAAAATAAAATTTTTGACTGATCTATGAGAGACTGAAGGAGCTCGACTTTTTGACACTCAAATTCGAGAAAGTGCAGCTTTGCTACCGAAAACCCGCAGTGGAAAAACAAATTTCAGCGGAGCACAAAATCAAAGTTTTTAAGCTGAAGAAAGTCGAGCAGAAGCTTAACACATTCAAAGCATCGGTCGAGCACTGCATATATTTTTCAATTTACTAACTTTTTGCATAATTAGTAATTTTTTTCAAATAAAAACTGAGCATAAATATTGCTCAAAAAGTGTTTGTGTTGGAGTGTTGCGTTCTGCAACAATCAACTGATAATAATTATCAACTGAATGCTAGATTTCAAAGAAACGAGTATTTTGAGATATAAACTTCGCGCGGTAACATGATGCATGTTCAAGTATTATTTTTACAACTCAGTTCTAAAATCAATTTTTAGCGTAGGTTTGTGAAATAACTTACTATTTCACAATCCATGAGTGAAAAAAATCTAGTCAATCAATTCCATATAGTTCCACATGTACAGATTGTCATCAATGTCATTTCTGTCAGAAAAAGTTTAAAAAAACCTTAATTTTTTGGGTGTGGTTAGAAAGAAAGTGTATATATCATTAAATAAACACTTTTTTTCTGTCAGAAAAACAAGATAAAGCCGTAAAGTTTTGCGTGTGGCTAGAAAGTGTATATATAAAAAAAAATTAGGCAAGTTCAAGTAAAATTTCTTTACACATGAAAGCAATGAAGTCACTGTTCTTTTTAGAAAGAAATGTATCTACTTGTTTAATAATTAAGCGTAGGCTGAAATGTTATGTTGGATATTTAGTACCCAGTCTAATATACTGCGCTCAAGCAGTGTTCCTGAACAAAACAGAAATGAAAATCATTGAACGCATCCAGAAAAAAGCTATGCATTGGATCTACGGATCCTCGAATACCTCAGAAGCTTCAATGGTGCAAATATCTGCCGCTCACAACGTACATAGAACCACACGATGAAAGTTTTGATCCCGGTCAACTGCTCTTTTCATTTTTTAAATAAAAGTTACGGATTTGAACAACCTGAGTGCATCAAAACAAAAAATTGTCAACATTTACTCAAATTATGCTAAACAAAATTTAGAATGAGCTAGTGACATGCCATTGGTGTATATGGTGCATCTGCAAACGATGCAACCCTCAAAGGACACTCATAGATTGTTGAAACAGAGGGGTTCAAGCTTCTGGGACTTGTCCCTGACGATGTATGTATCTATTAAAACTAGTACTTATGTTCTAAGATCATTTTTGTAGCCTAGCTTTGTAGTAATTTACTAATTCACGTTCCTTGAATGAAAAATGATCCAAACAATTCCAAATAATTTCTTGTTTACAGATTGTCATCTAATTCATCTTTCTGTCAGAAAAACAAGTAAAAACATAAACTTTGTGTTTGGCTAGAAAAAGTATATAACAAAATGTTGGTTAGACAAAAATTGTGGGCTGTTTCAATGGGGAGAGTAAAATTTATCTTACCATATAACTTTTGTTTTTTCCACATAAGATTTTTTTTTCAATCAGATAACGTGAATTAGTTAGTCAATTCAAAGATTATACGGAATAAAAATTAGTTGAAAAATTCTTGTAAAACAGTTCCATACGATTCAATATGTGCAGACTGCCATCTAATTCATCTTTCTAGCAAAAAAACTAGTAGAAAAACCTTAAATTTTTGTGTGGCTAGAAAATGTATATAGCCAAAAATTAGTCGACAAAAATTGTGGCCTGTTTCATCCGGCAGACTAAAATTTATCTTACTATATAGTTTTGTTATTTCCATAAAGTTTTTGTAATAAATTACTAATAACCTACTAATAACTGATTGATAACTTCCTAATTTACGGAAAAAATTTACCTTGTACTTTCAGTTTTTTTTTCTTATAAGCTTTGTAATAACATACAACTTTATGTTCTTTGAATGAAAAAAAAATGTCAAATAATTCCATATAACTCCATATGTACTGATTGTTATCTAAGTAGAGATTTTAGTACTATTATTTTGATATGGTAAGATAAAATTTTAGTCTGCCTATTGAAACCGGCCACAACTCATTTCTACCTCATTTTTTGATATAAACAGTTTCTAGTAACACACAAACAGTTACGGTTCTTACAACTTTTTCTCGCCGAAAGATGTTTTAGATTATAAATTGTACAGATGGCCTGTTTCAATTGGCAGGCTAAAAATCATCCTAAAATATCAAATGATGAATACTAGAAAATCCGAACTTAAAAGAAATCTGTACTTACAGAATCATATGGAATTGTTTGACAAGAACTTTTTCAATCATGGAACCTACATTAGTAAGTTATTACAAAGCTTATATGGAAAAAAAACTCGTGTCAAACAGTTCCTTACAAATCCATACGTACAGATTGTCACTTTTTCATCTTCCGCTCGAAAAAAATAAGTGAAAATCTTAATTTTTTGTGTGTGTGTGGCTACAAAGTGTATATATCAAAAAACTAGTTAGACATAAATTGTTGCCTGTTTTATTTAGTAGACTAAAAGTTTTCATACCATTCAAGCTTTGTTTTTCCCATATAAGCTTTGGTGTAACTTACTAATTCACGTTTTTGATAGAAAAAAATCTTGTCAAACAACTCAAAAGAACTCTATATGTACAGAGCGTCATCTAAGTTTAGATTTTTTAGTATTAATGTTTTGATATGGTAGTATTAAGTTGGTTTATGAGCATTTTGGCTTTTTAGAACTTAGCAGACTAAGGTTTATCTTACCAAATAAACTTTGTTTTGTCCATATAAGCTGGTAATCTATACAAATAGGGTTATACGGAATTGTCTGACAAGAAAATTATCATTCATGGAACGTGAATTAGTAAGTTTTTATTCGAATGCGATGAAAGTTTTTGACCCGGTCAACAGCTTTTTTCAATTTTTTCAATAAAGTTACGGATTTGAACAACCTGAGTAGATTAAAACAGAAAATTGTCAACGGTTACTGAAATTAAGCTAACAATAATTACAAGGAGCTAGTGAACTGCCCTGGCGTATGTGGTGCGTCTGCAAACGATGCAACGCTTATAGGAAACTCATTGATTGTTGAAACAGAGGGTTGCAAGCCCTAGGGACTTTCTAGCGTAGCGATTTAATAACCTACTATTCCACGTTCCTTGAATGAAAAATCCTATTCAAACAATTCCAAATAATTTCATGTTTACAGATTGTCATCTAATTCTTTTTTTGTTAGAAAAACAAGTAAAAAACCATAACTGTTTGTGTGTGGCTAGAAAACCAAAATATAAAAAAATCAAGTAGACAAAAATTGTGACTTGTTTAAATCTGCAGACCACAAAGTTTATCTGACCATTTAAGTTTTTTTTCCTCAAATAAGCTGGTAATCTGTTCATATGGAATTATAAACAATTAATTGATAGGAAGTTTTTTTTCTAGGTAACGTGAATTAGTAAGTTAATTAAAAGCTTATACGGAAAAATTGACTTGAAAATTTCTTGTAAGACAGTTGTATATAATTCATCATGTACAGATTGTTATCTAATTCATCTTTCTGTCAGAAAATTAAGTAAAAACTTTAATAATTTGTGTCGCTAGAATTTATAAATATTCAAAAAATAGTCGGCAAAAATTGTGGCCTGTTTCTTTTGGCAGATTAAATTTTATCTTACCCTATAAGTTTTGTTATTTCCATAAAAATTTTGTAATATACTACTTATAACCTACTAATAACTGACTGATAACATTCCAACTTACGAAAACGCTTACCTTACCATTTAACCTCTGTTTTTCTCATATAGGCTCGGTAATAATTTACAAATTCAAATTTTTTGACTGAAAAACATATTGTCAAACAATTCCATAAAATTCCATATATACTGAATGTGATCTAAGTTAAAATTTTATAATTAAAACTTTGGTATGGTAAACTAAACTTTAATCTTCCTATTGATAGAAGCCACAACTTCTATCTACCTGAATTTTGACATACAAATTTTCTAGCCACACACAAAAAATTGGGGTTTTTAAACTTTTTCTCACAAAAAGATGACTTAGATGTTATTCTGTACCTATGGGTTCTTTCAATCGGCAGACTAAAATTCATCTGAAAATTTCAAATTTTGAATACTAAAAAATCTGACCTGTACTTATGGAATTAAATAAAAATAAGTGACAAGAACGTTTTCATTCATGGAACGTGAATTATTAAGTTATTACAAAGCTTATATGGAAAAAATGAATGAAAAATTTCGTGTCCCTATAATATCATTTTTACAGACTGTCATCTTTTTCATAATTCTGTCAAAAAATAAATCAAACCTCATTTTTTTGTGTAGGGCTAGAAAGTGTTTTTTACCAAAAAATTAGGTAGACATAAATTGTGGCCTGTTTTATCGAATTTAAATTGTCTTTTATTTAAATTGTGTTCGTTGAATGAAAAACTTTTGTCAAAAAATTCCAATTATTTTCATGTTTACAGATTGTCATCTTACTCATCTTTCTGTCAGAAAGCAAGAAAAAACCTTACTTTTTTGTGTGTGGCTAGAAAATGTATATATCCAAAAATTAGTGAGAAAATTTTGTGGCCTTTTCCAATCGGCAGACTAAAATTTATCTTACCACATAATTTTTTTTTCGCATAAACTGGTAATCTGTTTGTATGGAACTATATTCAATTAATTGACAAGATTTTTTTTTCTTTCAGGTAACGTGAATTGGTATGTCAATTCAAAGTTTATACGGAGAAAGATTATACTATCAGAAAAACAAGTAAAAAAAATAACTTTTTGTGTGGCTAGAGAATGTATATAGCCAAAATTTAGTCGACAAAATTGGCAGAAAAATTATCATATAACCATGTTAAATCATTCATATTAAAAAGTTGAATTTCAAAAAAAAATTTGAATCGTTCGGTTGAAAGCCTCAGTCCAGAATTTTTATAGACAAAACTTTAATCTGCCTCTTGAAACTGCGACAACTTTTATCAATGTTTTTTTGTTTTATATCCTTTCTGGCCACACCCAAAAAATTACGACTTCCAATTATTTTTCGAACAGAAAAAAATTACTTAGATGATAATCTGTACATATGCCCTGTTTCAATTGGCAGACTGAAGTTCATCTTGAAATGTCAAATCAATATTACTAAAAAATTTGATTTTAGATGTCAATGTGTACATATGAAATTACATGGAATTGTTTGAAAAGAGTTTTTTAACTCATGGAACGTGAACTAGTAATCAGCGTAAAGAGAAAAAGGAAAAAAAATAATTCGTGTCAAACAGTTCCTTATATTTCTGTATATACAGTTTGTCATGTAATCCATATTTCTGTCAAAAAAAAACAATTCAAAAGCTCAATTTTTTGTGTGTGGCAAGAAAATGTATATATCAAAAAATTAGATAGACAAAATTTGCGGCCTGTTTCAATTGGCAGACTAAAATTTATCTCAACGTAAGAATTTTTTCCATTTAAGCGGGTTATCTGTACATATTGAAAAATATGGAATTGTTCAGTGAACGTGAATTGGTAAGTTATTACAAAACTTATAAGAAAAAACTGAACGCGAAAATTCTTGTCTAATCTTCCCATACAACTCCATATGTACAGATTGTCATCTAATTCACATTTCTGTCAGAAAAACAAGTAAAAACCTCATAAAACCTCATTAAAAATTTTTATTGTGTGTGGCTAAAAATTGTATATATAAATATATATATCAAAAAATTAGGTAGACAAAAATTGTGGCTTGTTTCATTTGGCAGACTAAAAATATCTTATCTCAGGTAACGGGAATTAGTGAGTTATTTCAAAAATTATACGGAAAAATTGAATTGAAAAGTTCTTGTAAAACAGTTCCATATAATTCCATATTTATAGACTGTCATCTAATTCATCTTTCTGTCAGAAAAACAAGCTGAAAATTTTAGCTTTTTAGATGGCTAGAAAGTGTATATATCCACAAATTAGTTTAAAAAAATTGAGACCTGTTTCATTTGGCAGACTAAAATTTATCTTACCATATAAGCTTTGTTTTTTCTATAACATCTTTTTTCAAAAACCTGCCTAAAACCTGCTTATAACTTACTGATAACTTACTAACTTAGTAAAAAAGTTTACATTCATTTAAAATTTTGATTTTTCTTTATAAGCTTTTTTAATAATTTAGTAATTAACGTTTTTTGAATGAAAAAAAATCTTGTCACATAGTTTCATATAATTTCATGCGTACTGACTGTCATCTAAGTTTAGATTTTAGTATTAATGATTTGATATGGTAAAATAGATTTTGGTCTGCCTATTGAAACAGGTCGCAATTTATATCCACGTAACTTTTTGATATACACATTATCTAGCCACAAACAAAAATTACTACTTTTACTTGGTTTTCTCACAGAGAGACGACTTAGATGGCAATTTATACATTGGCCTGTTTCAATTGGCAGACTGAATTTCATCTTAAATATCAAATCGTGAATACTAAAAATATGAACATAGGTGACATCACTACAAATGGAGTTATATGGAATTGTTTTACAAGAGTTTTTTATCCAGGGAACGTAAATTCGTGTCAAGAGTTTTCTTTATATTTTCATATGTACAGATTGTCATCTAATTCATCTTTCTGTCAGAAAAACAAGCGAAAACCATAATTTTTTGTGTGAGGCTAAAAAATGAATTAGTCAAAAATTTAGTTAGACGAAAACTGTGGCCTGTTTCGTTTGGCGGACTAAAACCTATCACATCATATAAGCTTTGTTTTTTCCATAAAAATTTTGTATTAACTTGTAAAAACCTTTTAAAAACTTACTGATAACTTACCATATGTTCAGAGCGTCATCTAAGTTCAGTTTTTTAAGTATTATTGAATTGATATAGTAAGATATACTTAGTTTACTGGCTTATTGGCATGTTATTGAACTTAGCAGACTAAATTTGTTTTACCATATAAGCTTTGTTTTTTCCATACAAGGTGGTAAACCATACATATGGAATTTTTTGAAGTTGTTTGACAAGAATATTTTTATTCATGGAACGTGAATAAGTAGATTACTACAAAGCTCATATGAAAAAAATATTTCTTGTCAAGCAGTTCCGTAAAAATCCATATATACAGATTGTCATCTAACTCATCTTTCTGTCAGAAAAATATCCAATAAAAATATGTTTTTACTCATTTTTCTGTTGTTGAAAAATTTTACGTTCCACCGAAAAAAAAGTCAGTTTTTTCTTATTTTTATGTCTAAAAATTCAGTAAGAACCGTAAGCTTTTGTATGTGGTTAGAAAGTGTATATATAACAAAATTAGGTAGATAAAAGTTGTGGCCTGTTTCATTTGGTAGACGACTTAGATGGCAATTTATACATTGGCCTGTTTCAATTGGCAGACTGAATTTCATCTTAAATATCAAATCGTGAATACTAAAAATATGAACATAGGTGACATCACTACAAATGGAGTTATATGGAATTGTTTTACAAAAGTTTTTTATCCAGGGAACGTAAATTCGTGTCAAGAGTTTTCTTTATATTTTTATATGTACAGATTGTCATCTAATTCATCTTTCTGTCAGAAAAACAAGCGAAAACCATAATTTTTTGTGTGAGGCTAAAAAATGAATTAGTCAAAAATTTAGTTAGACGAAAACTGTGGCCTGTTTCGTTTGGCGGACTAAAACCTATCACATCATATAAGCTTTGTTTTTTCCATAAAAATTTTGTATTAACTTGTAAAAACCTTTTAAAAACTTACTGATAACTTACCATATGTTCAGAGCGTCATCTAAGTTCAGTTTTTTAAGTATTATTGAATTGATATAGTAAGATATACTTAGTTTACTGGCTTATTGGCATGTTATTGAACTTAGCAGACTAAATTTGTTTTACCATATAAGCTTTGTTTTTTCCATACAAGGTGGTAAACCATACATATGGAATTTTTTGAAGTTGTTTGACAAGAATATTTTTATTCATGGAACGTGAATAAGTAGATTACTACAAAGCTCATATGAAAAAAATATTTCTTGTCAAGCAGTTCCGTAAAAATCCATATATACAGATTGTCATATAACTCATCTTTCTGTCAGAAAAATATCCAATAAAAATATGTTTTTACTCATTTTTCTGTTGTTGAAAAATTTTACGTTCCACCGAAAAAAAAGTCAGTTTTTTCTTATTTTTATGTCTAAAAATTCAGTAAGAACCGTAAGCTTTTGTATGTGGTTAGAAAGTGTATATATAACAAAATTAGGTAGATAAAAGTTGTGGCCTGTTTCATTTGGTAGACTAAAGCTTATTTTAGTTCCTGAATAGCCGTGTGAAGAATTGGTCAATCAGTATTTTGCTATTAAAGTTTTCATTGTAACTACATTCTTCTTGGAAGTGATTCATGCAATATTTAATACACATCTTACCATAAGACGTCTGTACTCTCAACTGTAGTCACAATTGATTTGTAAATATATATATTTTTTTGTTACTCGAATTGAAGTTTTCCAATATATCAAAATTATACAAAGGTCCGATTCAAGTTAAAATAGAATGGTGCTAATTAATTTCATTAAAACAGTTAGGCTCAAAATGAGTTGCGCATCATATTAGTACCTCTTAGTTTAGAACTTCCAGTGGAGGATCTAAGTTTTTATCGAAGAGGGGAAGATTTTTGTAAAAATGTTTTTACAAAATCGTTCTTTTTGTTAATTCGACCTTTTTTGAGTCAATCAAATTGATTTTCCGAGCGCTCCCACATTACTATAAGAACCTATTTTACTAATTTTTTTGCGCCGCAGGCGAACATGTGAGAAAGATTGACCAACAAATTGCGTTTTGTTTGGCGCGGGCTCCTCTTTAAATTTAGTATATATTGGCGCCGAAAGCGCCTTTAGAGACATTTTCGGGCTCGTCGGCCGAAAATGGATGTCAGAAAATATAAATTGAAAAAAATAGATTTTGATACGATAAATGAAACCGACTTCTTCATACTCCCCCCCCCCCCCCCCCCTATTGCAATTTGGTTGAGAATTATAATAAGCTTTAAATATCAACTATCACCTGTGCAGAAAGATTCGTTGTAGATGACAAATTGTGAGACAAGGTAGCCCCCGGTTGGTAGTTTACATCTAGCTGCGTAATGCACTCTATACTCGCATCCTTTCTCCATGTTGTAGATAATAGGGGCAGCCTGATGGGTGACGTAACATTACACATACAAGTCATGGCGTATACTTTTTTTTGAATGCCATTACGTTTCTTGAGTATTGCTTCCGCTCAAGCACTGATTTAAAATACCAAATCAAAATAACCTCCCTCCCCCACATTACGAGGCCAAACTAAGCATTTTGTGAACTCTAAGCGGATTCCGCAACAGGCCAAAACCAGATTTTTGCGGAATCTGTAACATTGCTATTTTTGTTTGATTTTCTTTGCTGTTTTCGATTCCAAAAACAAATAGCTTAAACACTGTACCGCTTAAAACCGCTCCAAGGTTGGAAATTTTGCGGAATCACCAAAAGTATTTCCGAAATCCGGAGCAGTTTGAGGAATGCACGAACAAATTACAAAAAGATGTCTATATTAAATTGCGCTGGTTGCGGAATCCAAAAGTGTAAGCGGAAACCGCAGCAGAAATCAGAAACAGCAGCGGAATCCGCAGTTTGTGAGTGGAATCCGCAATTTGTAAGTGGAATCCAAATTTTGTTTGCGGATTCCAGTTACATAAATATTAGTGTTTCAAATTAAATGTTTTATTTCACCCGCGAGTTCATTTTCAACTACTGCTTAGTTGATCAGCTACCAGTTGGAATATCAAGCGTTCGATCTCAATTTCTGCCCTATTTCCGATTTCAATTCCTAACAAACGCCCCAGTTCGACCACATTCCTGTCAAACACCCAAGTTCGATCTCAATTCTTGTCAAACACCCAACCTCGATCTCAATTCTTTCCAACTTACACACAACTGCGAACTCAATTCCTGTCAAACACCCTACTTTGATCTCAATTCCCGTCAAACAACCAACTTCGATCTCAATTCGTGTCAACCACCCAACATCGATCTCAATTCCTGCCAAAATACATGCAACATTGATCTCAGTTCCAGCCATCTTACGCCCAACTTCGATCTCATTTACTGCCAAAATGAACAAACTAAAAATATATATATTTCATCTGTTCAACTCAATTTATTTCAGTTTAAAAAAAATCGGTTTCCACTCAGTTTTTTTTAAATTGCGAAACCAGAGCAGACCGGAACGTAGTTTGATAACGCAAATTTTGTAAGGCAATTTTTTTGTTTTTGAATCTAACATTTGGTTCAGCTGTAGTTCTTCAAGATTTAGTAATTCTTCTTTGTTAAGAAAATTCACTGTAGCTGCAATAGATTATCTGAGAGAACAATGGTTGTTTTCTTACTCTCTAAGGACATTTTTTGACGTGCCGGCATAACAAACAAGTTTCATAACACAACATGTTTCATTTTACTGTGAAATTTGAAAACTCAAATAAAACAGACAGTAACAACAAACAGTATAATTTCGAGTTGTGCATTCCGATTCGAAAAGTAATCCTGAACAGATTTGGCCAATTTTAAGTCGAATTGTCTCTCGGGAGTTTTTATCGACGGCATTTATAACTCGGCCTGCGTTTATATGGCATCAGACTGTGGTCATGAGGAAATCTCTGTGCTAATTGAAAATGAAGTATTTGATCAGAGTGTCCAGCTCAGGCCGACAACAAATCCCATTTTTCCACAAGCACAAAAATCCATGAATGTTGGAATCGAAAAAACCTTGGGGTTCTACTACCCAAAAATTTAGCAGCCTTCTGTGGATGACAAACAAAAAGCTTTTCTAGTTACTGATTTAGCTTTATGGTTGCTTGCCCTGTTGTTTTCTTCATCACGTCAACGCACCTTTTTGTTGCCGAAAACATTGCAAAAAAATGACCTAATCGGTGAGTGATATCTTTCAGGTTGCACCTAATGTTTTTCAAAAACCAAAGCACGGGGGAATTAAATATTTTTTTTTCGGAAAAAGTTTAAACATGAAACAAACACCTAAATACCAAGAAATCTTCTTCAGCAAGCTCGGTCAAAACAGCAGACCTTCTCAGCTTGAAAAGTTTTCGATATAATTATATTCAGCAAATGCGCGGTTCTCTGTGCAACCGATTCTCAAATTATTGACAAGGATTTTTATCCAGCCGGTAAGTTTTTCGATCCTTATCAGGCTATTGAATGTGATAAGGGATTGATTTTTAACACAATAATTAAATATTGACGATAAGGTTTTACCTACTTTACATCATTGACGCATTTTGCAAAGCTCAAAGGGATGTCATTTTCAAGCAACCCAATTTAATCAAAGCACCTGACCAAAATATATTCCCGCGGTTTTCCTCCTTGGTTGTTTTTTAACGTTGGGATTTAAGAGTTTTTGTTTGGATCTAGGTTTCATTGTCGAGCAGTGACTCTCCGACTCATTTCCTTGACTTGGTATGCGACTTATTTCTCAAAGTACTTGACGCCTAAACTTTTACTGACTAATGGTCCATGTCCTGCAGTATCCTGATGCTTCTCGACCAAATAAACTGTGCACCGGGACCCAGAATGGACGCTGATTATGACAAATTTCTTTTGACAATCTGAAAATGGTCGAAAAAGACCATCTTTTTTGTGCAGTTGTCTGGGATTCAACGATAGCTTCTTTTTTCTCGATTTCCTTCTGCTTAAGGATTTTTAAGGATTTTTCTCATAATCCTTCCTGCTACATTATCTTTTCTGTCTTCTGGAATGCTAAAAATGTGCTTCCCGGCCATTCAGACACTTTAATCATTAGGCAACAATCGCTGAATGTTGAATAAATTTATCTCCGTTTCCCCAGATAGAAATGACGGAATCAAGGATTTGAACTATTACTCTGCCTCGAAAAATTCTACATAGCACGATGAAAAGAATGAAGGATTGTTAACAAAGGTTCAATTGAGGAACGAATGAATGACGAAAATAAAATGAGTCTTTGCTTACTTGACTAAGGACACTTTCCCTGATGCAGGATTTTTTGCTTTTTTTTAAGGACTGTGTCACTGATAAAAACTACTAAGATGCTGCAATGCAACAAAAAAGAACAAAGATGCTGGTGTGCTACAAATTGAAAAGAGGGGATAATAAATAAGCCCTTGGTGGACTCTAGTCTTGATAATAAATTTAGAAGTTGTATCGATCAAACTGGAATCGGTGAATACTTTTTTGCACTCTAAATTTAATTGCAGCAATTGGTTGCTAAATCTAAATAAGTTCATCCTCATTTTGTGCCCAACATCAGCTGCATAATTTCATCAAACCATTCTTTTTTAATTGAATCATTCTATCTCATTGAAGCGTTTCATCTCATTTTTCGTCGAATCTAATGACAACCTGCTCAAGAAAATGTCGAGCGCTGAAAGCTTATAATCGCTCCCGTCCAGTTCTCCATCATCATGTGCAGTGCCTTTTAGTACTCTGTGCATCTGTCGCCACTCACCGCATCAGAGACCTCATCTTTTGCCAATCCTATGACGTCAACCTCTTTGCGATCACCCCTCGACCATTCGCTTCAACGATGCTAGCGACATATGGGTTTCCGCATACCCCTCTGAGACATTCAGGCCCCTCGGAAGTACACATGCAGGCTCCACCTAAGCAACAGTAAAATCCAATCCACATTGATTCGAATATGTCAGCATCACCGTACCCGAATTATGCATGGCCATCAGCATTTTCTCCTTATCGGGAAACTGAAATCGCATGCCCATGTCGAATACCCATAGAGAACTTTCGATAACGCAGGAGAGAAAATAATCACGGAACCACGGGCCGACCATTCCACGGAACCACGAGCAGACTGGACTGTAAGCAGCAAAAAGGAGGTGAGCCAGAGAAGGTAGGCGAAGCATTGAATTGAATTGTTAATTTTACAAGCAATTAAGAAATCACAAAAGGATTCGAAAATTTTGGAAACTAAATTTAGTTTAAGCAACCTGCAAAATTTTTGTGATTACCGAGACTCTCAAAAACGACTTAAAACAAACTGTAGAGAAGCCTAATGACTGCGCTGATAAACGAAACGTCACCTTTCTCACATGAAACAAATGACAATGTTCAGAGCCTTTATCACATTTCGGCACAGTAGAAAAGGTTGAAAGAGAAGCATTCAGAACTACGTTGGTAAACGGGCTTTTTGGGATACCAAAAAAATTGTTACGACCCAAACTGTTTTTCGTCAAAACTGAAAACGCGGTATTAAAGATGGCTCCACTAATCGATCACTTTAAACGCCAGGTCTATCACTACAAAGTTTTTATTGGAGTCTAAAGCGATTTTAAAACTAAGAAAGAATCCGCTGCAACATGGAATCAGATTGTAATCGTTTTATAATTTTGTCTAGCAGCCCTACGTTTGAAATGGAGAAATGGAAAAAGCTAGCCTCATAAGTTCATCAAATTATATAACGGATCTCTCTCCCCCTAAAAACAGAATACGTTTTGTTGCGTTTCAGTTTGCTATGATTGTTTTTTGTATTTCTCAGAAAAACCATTTTGTCGTATTCCTACTGGTTTGCGTTATGTAAATAATTATCAACCAAATAATTTTGAATAAAAATCCTCCCCACCCATATTATAGTAGCAAGTAAATGTTACAGAATTCTTTTTTGGTTAATTGAAGATTAATCGACTTGACCATCTGGTATTCGTTTACGTAACCGTTTCCACTAGTAAAACTAGCCGACATGTTTTTATGGCTTGGTATACGTATATTAATGCCTAAGAATGTTGTTGATGCTGCTGTAGCCTCGTTGACTCTTAAAATTATTGTTTCGGCTGTTTCAATTAAAAAGTTTTTTTGTCTCGTTCGTACCTGGTCCAATGTTATTGGCCACCGACAAGTTATGTGGGGCAAATCACTTGAGTGGTGAACTTCGTTTTAACTCTGTGCTCGTTAGAAATGATCTCGCATTTTGTTGAGCTGTTGTGAGGTCTGCATTATCCGTCAAACTAATTATTTCTTTCAAGGAAGTTCAGCTCTCCTGCTATTTAGAGGCTATGTGAGTTGAAGGTGTTTAGCTGCACGAAAAAGGTACTTGGGATTCATGAGTTTGGCTTTGCGGCAAATTTCACAACCACGATTGCAAAAACCTTAATTTCACCAT